CTCTTGCATGTTCAAGGTGATGAATTACATATTAAAATAATTAGGAATGAGAAAAAAATGAGAACAACAATGTAGTATAATATAGGACAGAAAATACATTCTATATTATAGTAATCTAAAACCATATACATGAATACAAATTAATAATATGACATTAACTCATAGAAATCATCATTCATTTATAGAAATCTGGTTTTCCAGATTTCCATATCTCTGGGACTGGGAGTGTCTTTGGTACCATCCTTCACCTACTTCATCTCGGAAACTGAGCAGAAATGGGTCTCTTTAGTTCTGAGGCAGGAGTGTACCTGAGAAATTCAAGTGGAGGATTCTGCAATCATTAAGAAACAGTTCTGTGTATCCTATCTCCGTGTCTCCTGACATGTAAGGTTTGACAAATATATGTGTTAGCAAAACTATGTATATTAGGATGCTGCGGAGATGATATATATATATATCTTTATCCATTCATTTGTTGATGGGCATTTTGGTTGTTTCTATATACAGTAAAACCATGGATTGCAAGTAACTTGGTTTGCGAGTGTTCCACAAGAAAAGCAAACATTTCTGATACATTTTAACTTGGTAAACAAGTGATGTCTTGCAATACGAGTACATAGTTTGTTTCCAGAACAAATTATGCTCGTGAACCAAGGTATTACTGTATGTCTATTGTGAATAATGCTGCAACAAACTGGAGAATATATATATATGTATATATATATATATATATACATATAAATATACATATATATGTGTATATATATATATACATATATATATATATATATATATGGAGAGAGATAGAGAGAGAAGTGGAATTTTGTATTTCCAATAACCCTGTTTAGTGAGATTTTGTACAGACAAGGAGAGGTATTAGGACTGTTTCCTTTTTATTTTAACACACCAGTATTATTTATTTTCTTTTAACCATAAGAATACATTGGCTTAGTACTTAAATAAACATGTAAAAATGTTCCAGGGCATTTTGGTAAGCTGGAGAGAGTAAAATGAAGTATCTTCTCATTCCTCTCTCTAGGCCAGAGGTCTCCACAGCCCTCTAAATGTGGTTACTGTAAATAGTAGCTCCAGGTGAATCTGGTAAGAAGAAAGAGGTGGGAGGGGTCTACGGGCAGAGGCACAGATCTTAGGGGCATCCATTTGACCTTGTCACAAATATCCCCTCCAAAGCTACTTTCTGCTCCTAGCTGCATATTCAAATGCCAGGTTGGTTTACCTGATCTGTACACACAGCTCAGGAGGCTGAAGAATTGAGGGACATTTTCATATTTATTTCAAGGGAATTTTACAGTCTGGCTTCTAGGCACATACCAGGGCAGGGTCTGAGCATGGAAGATGGTGGAAGCGATAAGCACCAGGGATCACACCCTTGGCCTTGAGCTGGTGCTCTTTTCCTGCGAAATATTGGGGTCCGAGCCACCCTTCAGTTGTCCATGCCAGAGCTGTCCTGATAAAGTTTCTGAGCCTGAGATGAGTCCCATGGTCTACTGTGCCTCTTCCCCCAGCATCTTCACACAGGTGTAAAGAAACATTCAACGGTCTTTGGAGAGGAGAGAGAGGAGTAACTAAGGAAACAGGCAGCCCTAAGCGGGGTGAATGGAGAAGGAAGGGCCGGTAGGCCTTAGCATTGGTGGGAGAGTATCATGGGCACTGGGAAGCTGGTGAACATGAACGTCATGTTTCTATACATTTTGTTTATTGATACTATGCACCTCCTCCCAAGTGCTTCCCAGCGGGTGACTGTGGAACTTCCTGTCTCTCCTCCTTCCGCCCAAGTTGAGAAGCGCCTCCCAAAGTCACTGCTCAGCTCTGTGCACAGGTCTGGCCAGGACATTTCTTGTTTTCTAGGAACTCAGAGCCCTCTCAGAGGCGATCCTAGTGGTTGCTTCCTGTGGACTCCTCCCTGATTCCCTCTGTCTTGGGGTTGTAGGAAGAGAACTGGGGAGGATTGGCCTAATCATGTCTGGGTCCCCACCAGACTGGCCGAATTCACAGAATTCCAGTGCATAATCATTGTTCCCTGGAAAGGCCAGTGCGCCAGAGCCAGGGACGCTGCAACTGTGGTACCGCACCACCAACATACTGCTTTCCGGGCTGTAGGCATGTCTTTCACTTCTGGGCCTCAGGCTCATAGGCGACCCATCCTCATACATGGTCTTTGTTCAAGGACCAAGGAGGTAGCCCATGTCCATTGCTAGAACTGTGTCGACCACAGGAAGTGTATTCCTGAGAGTAGAATCCTGGCCACCTCTTCCTGTAGTAGGGTCTGGACATAGAAAGTGGAGCTGGACACTCACTGTTGCCCAGTCAGGTCCTCCCTCCACCCTGAGCTGTGAATGGGCAGGCTGGCCAGAAACCAACTCTGACATTTCCGGTGTCTTTATTCCATCCACTGGACATTTATCAGCACCAAACAAATACTTTCTGATGCTGAAGATCAAAGGATGAGTGAGAGAGGGTCCCTGCTTGGCCTCCAGGGGCTTCTCATCTAGTGGCAGAACTCATAACACGGGACAGCCCGGGGCCTCATATTCCCTCCTACCTGCTCTTTTCCCTGCCTACCCAATCAGCAGTGTGATCGATCCCTCCGTGTCTCCTTATTGGACCTTGGTCCTGTTTGTCTCCTCTCTCTCAGCCTCTCATTTCCATGGATGCCCATTCAAGTCAATTCTATTGTGAAAGGACTGAAGAGGGATTTTCCAAACCTTATTTAGCCATTTTTATTATGTCAGTCATCGTTTTACAATGGAGACTGATTTCTGATCAGAGATAGAACATACTGGACAGTTTGAAGAGTATTTTTGGACACTGTGCAGCCACCCTTCTAAATCTTATCTCAACATCTGCACCCTGGGATCCTTTCATTCACCACACATTTATGGAGCTTCTGCTCTGGGCCAGGCATTTTTCCAGGCCTTAGGAATAGAGCAGCTAGCAAAGCAAAGTGTCTGTCCACATAGACTTACATTCTAAAGTGGAGGCAGCCTGAGGAACAAAGTGCTATATGATGTGACGGCTGCTAATATAAGGGTGAAATTCGGCGACTCAATAACATATATAGTTTGATTTAGCTGGCTTACAGTTTGATCCTTCCTGATATTCAGCTGTTTTCTCCTTGTTTCTCCCCTCACTGCCTGACTGAAAAACTCTGTTCTGTTCCCTGTCCTAAATCTACCAGTACCTCGTTAATCCATTTAATCAACAGAATCCCAACCTCAAAAGAGCAATTTCTCAATCCTCAGGCGCCCAGACACTGGAATCCATTTTGCAATTCCCTTGCTGTTTTTACTGCTGATGCATAAAGCCCCAGGCCATGGTGGCCGAGTCAGAGTCCAGAGTCTGGAGATAACATTATCTTAAAACAGACCAGACCCCAGGAAGCAATGTCAGTCCTGGGACCTGCCTGCCTGACTCCTGCTTTCCTTTGTCCTTCTTCCTGTGCACCTATAAAACCTTCTGTCTGTTCTAGGAATGGGGAGATGGCCTTTGGACAGGAGTCCACCATCCTCCCAGAATGCCGGCATTCTGAATAAATTTGCTTTTCTTTCCACCAGTCTTATCTCTTGATTTTTAACTTTTTCAAGCAGCAGGCAGCTGGTCCTTAGCACGGTATCACTAGTATGATAAATACCATGTAAAGAAATGAAACATGATGAGGGGTTAGAGAATACTGGCAGAGAGTGGGGTGCTCTGATAGATGAGGTGGTCAGGAGAGTCCTCTCCAAGAATACTGGGCGAAGGAGTCAGGCAGGTAACTGGGGAGATTCCTTGCAAGGCAAAAACGATAGACAGTGCAAAGATCCTGGGGCCAGAGCTACTGGATCTGCGTGAGAATCAGTAAGGAGGACAAGGTGATTAGAGCAGAGCAGGGAATGGGAAGAGGCACCGAAGGTGACGCAGGGCCTTGACTCCCATGACCCAGACTCTGCTGTTTCTTTTGGGTGAGAAGGAAAAATTGTTGGAGGGTTTCGAGTGGGGAAGTGATCTAACTTTTGTTCTAAAGGACTCCTGTGCCTACGCTGTGGAGAATACATATACTGGAGGAAGAGAAGAGTGAAAGCTGAGAGATTCTTTGCAGCCATCCGGGTGAGAGAGGAAGGCTGGAATCCAGGTGGCAGTGGTAGAAGGGACAAGAAGTGATTGAATTGGGGATATATTTTAAAAGCAGAGCCCACAGAGAATGTTGGTTCTAAGGTCTTGGCTACAACTCAGTTGTCAACAACTATTTGAATAATCACATTCCAAGTAGAAAAACAAAACCATTTGAAAACACACGTCTTCATTGTTAAGCAAAACATAATACCCAGTGACCAAGGGACACTAATATTAAGACATGAAATAGTCAAAGATAGGCGGGATGCCTGCGTATGTTTATCTGATGGTTTTGTAGAACTTTTTATACTTCGCTATTTAGAAAAATAATAATGAAAAACGATAGAGATATACAATATTATTTCCCAACGAAAGAAAAACCCGTTTAAATAATATTTTGTCTGAAAAACAGGACTCCTGAGGGGTTTTCATTACTCTGAAAGGATGTGTGACTCCCGCGTTGCGGCCAGCAGTGCTAATAGCTGTCTGGGTAAATGAAGTTTAAATAAGCAAGAAAATGTGTTAATCAACATCACACAAATGAAATCTAGTGGCCACAGGCCCACCAAGAAACATTGAATTGTGTGAGTCGGCTGGGTTGAAGGGTGGTTAATCCTTTAAACTTGAGCAGGTTGGCCCTCTCTGAGAGATGGGTCTTAGGGCTCGCTGTGTCCTGCCTAATGCCTGTCCCACATCCCCTGCCTTGATCCGCCGCCTGCCTTCAGACCTACCAGCCCTCGGCTCCGCGACCCTGCCCGCCCCTTCCCGCCCCTTCCCTGGCTACGCCCTCCCCGGTTACGTCACCGCGGCCCTGCCCACCCCACTCTGGCCACGCCCCCACGCAGCGCTGGTATCTTCCCTAGACACGCCCCCTCCCCCCACCTCCCAGGGCCGCGCCGGCGCGCGGGCCGCGCGAGCGGCTTTGTGGGCGGATCTTGCGCAGCCGCCGGGACCCTTGCGTGCACCGCTTTCCGCCCCCGGCCACCCGCGCCTCCACGGACACGCACTTCCTGCGAGGCCTTCCTGCGCACCTTAGGCGACCCGAACCCAGCCGAGCCCAGCCCTGCCTTTCCAAGCGGTTCGCCATGGTGGACGAGCTGGTGCTGCTGCTGCACGCGCTCCTGGTGCGGCACCGCGCCCTGAGCATCGAGAACAGCCAGCTCATGGAACAGCTGCGGCTGCTGGTGTGCGAGAGAGCCACCCTGCTGCGCCAGGTACGTCCGCCGAGCTGCCCGGTGCCCTTCCCCGAAACGTTTAACGGCGAGAGCTCCCGGCTCCCCGAGTTTATCGTGCAGACGGCGTCTTACATGCTTGTCAACGAGAACCGGTTCTGCAACGACGCCATGAAGGTGGCATTCCTGATCAGCCTACTCACCGGGGAAGCCGAGGAGTGGGTGGTGCCTTACATTGAGATGGATAGCCCCATCCTCAGTGATTACAGGGCCTTCCTCGAGGAGATGAAACAGTGTTTTGGTTGGGATGACGACGAAGAGGACGACGACGAAGAAGAAGAAGATGATTACTAGGCCTGGAGACCCTCGGGCCTAAGGGGGAAGGGCTCTGCACGCCGCCACCTCCCCCACCCCCCCTTCCTGCTCCTCCCGGAGCCACCCTTCTCCCCCTAGCCCGCCCATCTTCTTCCCTCTCCTACCCTCTGGTCCTCTCCCTCGTCCCCCCTCCCCCCGGAGCGCTTGTCTTTGTTCCAGAAATTGTGCTCCAGTTACGTGCTGGGGCTGGGGGTTTGCTCTGAAGCGCGCTGCCACCCACTCTGGCCAGCCCCGGGAAGCACCCCTGCTAATGTGGACTGTGTCCTGAGCCCCAGCTCTAGGGCAGGTCCCTGTTACCAACTGGTCAGACTATGCCCTGCCCTGCCAACTGCCAGGCCAACATCTGCCCAGAGACCTACGCTGCCGCTAACTACACCACCATTCACCACATTCTAGCGACAGACCACCGCCTTTGGAGATGAGGACCAACCTAGAAGATGGGTTGGCTACACCTCCTTGGACATTTATTTGGACAGCTCACCAGCCCCCGAAGGGGCCAATCTTTCAACCGGGTTAGTTCCCTACCTGTTTGCAGAGGTCTCCCCTGCGCCACCAGATTGCTGCAGGGGCCTAGTGTGCCTGGCAGCCAAATTGTTGACATTTCTTTTCTCCTATGCACTAGTTTTGCACAGCTGTCATTTTTCTTTATAAATTGCAGCAGTCTAAAAAGAAAAACAGGCACTCAGCCAAGCTTCTCAATACTACCTGGAAAAAGTACTTGCGTTCTTTTCAATAAATATCAAGCACTACGAAAAAAAACAAAAGGAGTGTCTTTAATGGTTAAGTGCTATCACTGGCCCCGACCACTCTCACTCGGCCTCCCATTTTTCCCATTGAGATCCGGGAACTTAGGTCAATCCCAGAATTCCCCACGGTCATCTCTAGGCTACAGAGGACAGCTACCATAGGGCTTTAGAGGGATTTTGGGGCCTCCAGGGTGGCACACCATCTCTAACTGGGACACTTGGGAGTGAAAGGGGGTGCTATTAATTAGGCTGGGACAACAGGAATAATCTGGACACATACAGTGTTCCTATCTTCTTGAGCCTTTGGTTTCCTTCCTCAACCCTGCCAGGGAAATTTGGCCCCTTAATCCTTTATTGCCTGTGGGGTGCTGTTGAATTCAGGCTTTAATTAACAATGGAGCACATTATTATAATACCCCTTTCAGGTGCTTGAGCTAACATTAAATCCTGGATCCCTGGTATGTGCACCACGATAGCCTGATCTGAACGTTTTATCCAGCTTGGGCAGACACCCTTAGAATCCTTACCCATTCATGTGCCCCAGATTCCTGCCTAAGAATTTGGCAAGATGCCTGGCTAGCTCCTGAACTAAACCTTGTGCTGCTGAACTATGCTGAGATCTCTTTAAGGGCTCAGAGGTATTGAAGGAGTAGGGTGCTGAGAATAATCTGCATACTTTTGTGAGGTCCTTATCCCAGGTTAAGTCATTGAAATATTAGAGAAGCTGAGTTAGGGGATTTAGGGGGCTACCCCAGGGTGCCAGGAACTTTCAGGAGGATTTGAGGAGTTCCGAGTTCTCATTCTCATCTCCATCTGCCCAAATGTCATTGTATCATGCCTGGAGCTAGCTCTACCTTAGGAACTCTTAACGAATTCAGGTAATAAATGTCCTTACTGTTTTAAGAACTTTGGAGGCTGGGTATTTTTTTTCCTTGTACTGGTAAACCTCACTGTGGTTTAAATGAATACTACTCATCCTACTGGTCACCTCACAGGTGTGGATTCAGTGAGATCACACTCATGAGGTACGTAGAACTGCTACATGGTGAGCACTCAGTAAACATGGGCTGTTACTCCCAGGCCTGGGAATCAAAATCTCGCTTGGGAAGCATATCTCTTGCTATGAGCTTGGCTTTAGTTGCCATGAACAGGAGCACAGTAGGCTCTGGGAGAGTGGAAGTGAGCATCATGGCAAGACCTCGTTTACCCTTTGGAATCTGACATGAAGTCACAGCCAGTTAATTTACTTGGTGAACAGGCCAAGTCCAGGGCAGGAGTTAGTTTCTCGGCCTAGGAAAGTTGTTTATGGAGGGTAGGGACAGGGCGGATATGACTTAGCAAAGGAGGTTGAGGCCCACATTAGGGGTTGATGTGGGGAAGTGGGCAACAGCTGAAAGCTAGGTAAAGGGTCCGGCGACACCAAAAATTAGTCATTCAAAATGATCTGTGGTCCAGGTGTACTGAGAGGAGTTAGAGATGTGCTAGTGAATGAAAGGTCAGGTGGCTGTCCTCGTAGTGATCCTCGTTTGTTGCTTTTATGGTGTCTTGGGCCAGAACTAGGAGGATATCTAGCTTACAGGTAGGGTCCAGGAAGAATCTAGGTTGTGATTAGATCTGGGAGTGACCTTCCCAGTGTGGAAGTTGAAGTAGATGAGATTGACTCCCCACCATCAAACCAAGTGAGCACCTGCTCTAGGGGGAAGAAGGCTCCGTAGTCAGTGAGGATGGCAATGCCAAGGCAGCATCTGAGGAGCATCCCCGAGAGCTAGGCCAAGGAACTTCTTGGAACTGAGGTGCATGAGCTTGCTTGGAGTACGTGTATGCGTGTGATAAAAGAACAGGTTACGCTGTGAGCTGCAGAGAAGGATAATGTGAGAATCTGGCTACCTTGGGGGCAGATTCTGTAATACATAAAAGCACAGATATTGACAAAGGCTCTGCCACCCAGGAAAGGATTCATGACTGCACCATAAGGCAGAGCGAAAGAGAATGGAGAAGTTAATAAGCATGTCTAGAGATAAAAAACACTGCTTAGATGGAAACTAGTAAGAATGGGTGGAAATGCTGAAATCGTAAATATGAACTTCAGAGACCTCAATCCTCATCTAGGGCATCCTGGACTTGAAATGGTCCCTGAAATGACACTATGAATGAAATGTCATACTTAACGTCATACTCATTTATATGAGTATATGAGTATATATTAATAAACGTCATACTCATTTAATCCTATTAAGTCAACCAATGTATCTTGGGATTTCTCTAATGATTTGAATAGGTAAGCACTGCCTCCCATTAATTCTGTGTTGCTGTGTTTTGCAGGATGGTATATAAACAGTAAAAAGTTCAGCAATGATAAAGTAGGCAGACTAGAGGGACACATCTTGTTGAAATTAGTGAGATATTTTTTAACAAATGAACCTTAAAAAATTTTCTAGGTTCTTAAAAACAATTGAAACAAAGCTAGGAAAGGGTTTTCAGTACAAGATCCTGAGGTTTTTCCTCATTGGATGGTTAGGGTGGGCTAATTGTATGAAGCGTATTTATTTGCTTAGACATATGAATTTTGCTAAAGTCATGTTAAAAATGTCTAGTAGTTTGCATCACGGGCTAGTTCAGGTATATTATTCCTGACAGTCTTTTTTTTAGATGTTTTTATTGGGGAATTGGGGGAATTGGGGAAGGGAACAGTGTTGGTGAATTGGGGAAGGGGAACATTGTGTTTTTCCAGGACTTATCAACTCGAAGTCAAGTTTTTGTCCTTCAACCTTAGTTGTGGAGGGCACAAGCTTAGCTCTAAGTCCAGTTGCCGCTTTCATTCTAGTTGCAGGGGGCGCAGCCCACCATCCTATACAGGTGTTGAACCGGGAACCTTGCTGCTAAAAGCATGTGCTCTCACCAGCTCAGCAGCAGCTCAGCTCACTGGCCCATGTGAGAATCCAACCGGCAACCGTCTGTTGCTCAGAGCTGGCGCTCTTAACCAACTGAGCCACTCGGCTGGCCCCTATTCCCTACAGTCTTATGTCCACTAAGTTCTAAAGGTAGATACAATGAACACATGTTTGGTGTCTTTCCACAGTGCTGGTAACCGCGTACTTCCCTTCATGAAAATCAGATCACCGTCCTTGCATTTTTATCTTCTGGTCTGAAATGCCTCTGTTAGGATTTGTTCCTTTATCTTCAAATGTTCTATTGTCCAGAGACTTATTTTCAAACAATGCAGTTAGCTTGGGATGGGTAATAGCTTGCTTAAAGTAGTAATTATGAACAGCATAGCAAGATTTGTTAATGGAGCAGAAGCCCTCCCCTGGGTGTGTTGAGGGAATACTGGGGAGGCGCTGCAAAGGGGGATTCAGAATAGCCAGATGGCAATATTTACGTACCTCCCTTTCTCCCCTCAGGGCCTGCTATCTGAGCTATAATCAATAAGAAATTGATTTTTCTTATACTAGCTATAAGATTTGCATACCTCCTTCTCTCTGTAAATCACAAATGATTTCATCAGCAAAGTTGCAATACTATAATTCTTATATTTTAGCCAAAGTCCCTTATACAGTGAACTTAACCGAATTTGCCA